GGCAGAGATACCTGCTCCGTTATGGATGACTAGCAAGGGAACTAGACTCATGCAGCCTCTTCAGGAGATGGGGGGGGGCAGCAATGAAGGGGTTAAACAGACGGGAGGGATAGCGCGATAGCACAGTGCAGGTGTTAGAGAAGAGTTAGTGAGACTGGAAGTGTGGCGTGTGCTGGAAATGGGCTAGCAAGTAATGAATGGAAAGAATAGGCACCGTAAAGAGAGAGAGAGAGAGAGAGAGAGAGAGTGAGGGTTCGGGTGGGGTTGAGAGAGGGAGGGGTGGGGTGGGGTTGGGGTGGGAATACGGTTGAGAGAGCGAATGGTGATTTGGGATCGGGGAGCAGTGATGTCGAGGTAGGTTAAAGACATGGAGAGGTGGGATGGGAAGGGGTAAGGGTGAAGAGAGAGGAAAGGGGTGGTGGGGTCGGGTTGGATAGTGTAGTTAAGAAAGGGGGAGGGTATCGATTGGGTGGGGTCGGGGGTCACGCCACATTTCTCTCTCTCTCTCTCTCTCTCTCTCTCTCTCTCTCTGCTCTTCTCTTACTCTCTCTGTCTCTCTCTTCTGCCTCTCTCTTCTCTCGCTCTCTCTCTCTCTACTCTATCTCTCTCTCTCTCTCTTTCTCTCATCTCTTCATCTCTCTCTCTCTTTACTGTGCCTATTCTTTCCATTCATTACTTGCTAGCCCATTTCCAGCACACTCCACACTTCTCCGTCTCACTAACTCTTCTCTAACACCTGCACTGTGCGATCGTGCTATCCCTCCCGTCTGTTTAACCCCTTCATTGCTGCCCCCCCCCCATCTCCTGAAGAGGCTGCATGAGTCTAGTTCCCTTGCTAGTCATCCATAACGGAGCAGGTATCTCTGCCGACCGCTGGCTTATTAAGCTTGCGACAGGTCGTGGATGTCGGCGGGAGGGGATGCGGTCCCCCGGGGGGTTCGGGGTGGGTCCCAGGGTCGGCCCTCATCGGTGATACATCATGGTGTCATGCGGGTTAGGGTGGGGTGACGGGTGACAGCTACATGCTTGCAGGTGCTCTAGATCTCCTAGATCTACACTCTCTCTCTCTCTCTCTGTATCGCGTGGTCTTTCGCTCTTCTCTTGAGTTCTCTCCCGCGCTTTCTCCCGCGCGCTCTCTTCTCTCTCTCTTCTCTCTCTCTCTCTCCTCTCTCTCTCTCTCTCTCTCTCTCTCTCTTCTCTCTCTCGGGCGCTGCGCGCTCTCTCTCTCTCTCTCTCTTCTCTCTCTCTTTCTTTCTTCCTCTCTCTCTCTCTCCTCTCTCTCTCTCTCTCTCTCTCTCTCTCTCTCTCTCCTCTCTCTTCTCTCTCTCTTCTCTCTCTCTCTTACTCACTCTCTCTCTCGCTCTATCTCTCTGTCTCTCTCTGTGTCTCTCTCTCTCTATCTATCTATCTATCTATCTATCTATCTATCTATCTATTTATCTATCTTTCTATCTATCTATCTATCTATCTATCTATCTATCTATTTATCTATCTATCTATCTATCTATCTATCTATCTATCTATCTATCTATCTATCTATCTATCTATCTATCTATCTATCTATCTATCTATCTATCTATACCTCTTTCTTTCTCCCCAGCCTTTCTCGTATCATCGCTCCCTCTTGCTATTTCCCCCGCCTCTCTCTCGCTTCATCTCTCGCTTCATCTACGATCGTGGCTGCGCCACCGCCGGCAGTGTAGTGTGCGTGTTTACTCGATCCACACCGCCTGACCTGTCATGTCCACTCTGACGCCGCCGCTAGTGGCTCGTTACGCTGGACACCTAATGCGCGCCTGGCCCGATTCCGTCACGAATGCTTTCCGA